CATCCTCAAAGTTGGTGAACAAATATGTATGCATATGGGTGTGCTCCCTCTCAGTAAGTTTTCACTTCTTTGGTTTACCATTAAGTCGTCCAATTTTCCTAAAGATGTTTGGGTCAGTAACATAATACGTTGTCCTTTGCCCTCCATCATCATGCCGACATGGTCTCTGGTTTTTTATGTGCATATCTGATGGAAAATAAGTTTCAGAAAAAGTTGTAGTTTCTTCATTACTCACCTGTGTGACTATAGATCCTTCCACCTTGCTTAAATTTTTGATCTTCTTCTTCAGATGATGCATATAACGCTCAAAAAGATACATCCATCGGTAATTTACAAGACCACTAACTTCCATTTCTCTTGTTGAATAGCAAGATGTTCCATTACATAAAAAATGTTGGAGGAAATATCTTCTCGAGGTTGCACATGCTCACGGGTATGTTAGCCTTCAAATTACTAATACCATATGCGGTGACTGATCTAGTGCATAAGTCTCCAAAGAAAGCACTTATCCCTGCATACATATAAAGAAATAATTTTCTAAATACATATAAATCATAAGAAATTAATAGGACAATCAATTAAAAAGGTTAAAATATAAAATACCTGCAATTGCTTCATGAAAATTTTGTGACAATAGTTTGGAAAAGCAAAACCGAAGGAGGCACTGCATCATTACATGACACTCATGATTCTTCAATCCAGTACATTTCCCTTCACTTCTGTCAATGCTGTTTCGCAAATTTGAGGAATAACCATCTGGAAAGATCATTTTATCTGTAATCCAATCAAACAACTCCTCATTTGCAGCTGCATCACTGGAATATGGGAAAAGAAGTCACACCGTTCTCATCAACATGAAGTTAAGAACGAGCACAAATATCAACTAAATCAAGTCTTAACTTCAAATTATCATTTGTTTTACCTTGGATGTTAGAGATTGTGCTCATCAGATTGTCGAAAAAGTTCTTCTCAATATGCAAGACATCTAAATTATGTCAAAACAGATGATCCTTCCAGTATGGTAGATCCCAAAAATACTCTTGTCCAATTGTGTAGTTGTCCAACAACGTCGATTCGAATATTTTTATGTCCACCAATGTCTGGTTTCCATTCTTTACCAAAATCCATTAAATGTTCCAACAAATCTTTCCTACTAGTTTCTTCTACTGGACTGTCAAACACCTTCTTGTTCTTTGTGACAGTCAAACCAACACGTTTTCCTTTAGTGTTTTAGTTGGAAATCATCTGTGCTATCTTGAAAAAAATGGACATGATAACCTCTCATGTGTTGTCCATCCTGATAGCATCCCATATGTTGAAAAATCACTTATTGTCCACATAGTACATCAACATCTGAAAGTTTTCTTTGCCCAAAACATTGTATGTCTCAGCGCCATGCGCCCATAGTTGTTGCAACTCATATATCAAGGGCTGAAGAAACACATCAAGTGATCTCTTAGGATGATCTGGCCATGGGACGAGAATGTAGAGATACAAAAATTCTCGTCGCATGCACAAATTGGGCGGTAAGTTGTACGGTGTCACAATCATCGGCCAAAGAGAATATTGTCTTCCATGCTTTTCAAATGGGTTGAAACCATCAGTACATAATCCAAGATATACATTTCTTCTCTCATAGACAAATTTTGGATATGTTGACTCGAAAGGTTTCCAAGCTTTTGCCTCTGAAGGATGTCTAATCTGACCATCTGTGGAGTGCTCTGCATGCCATCTCATTGGTTGGTCTGTGCGTTCAGACTGATATAACCTTTTCAGTCTTTTCGTCAAAGGTACCACATCCTTTTGAATGGAACCGAAACTCTTCCCCTTGTATCTTGATAACGAGGTTTCCCACAAAATTTAGATCTATCTTGGTTTTGATCTGCTCTCCAATAGATCATGCAGTTATCGATGCATACATCTATCACCTGATATGGGAAACCAATACCCGCTACCAGTTTCTGAACCTCGTAGTAAGAACTTGGTGCAATATTATCCTCTGGTATAACATCTCTAACGAAATCAGCAGTCACATCTACGTATTTTTCAGCCAATTATAGTATGTCTTAATACCCATCAATCTAGTTGCAGATGATTAGGGTGAATGACCATCTCTACAACCCTTATACAAAAGTTGTTTTCCTGCATCCAACATGTCAAAAATCTCCTAGATTCTGCATTGGGCTCTTCCCCTCTATAATGATCATTTACCATCTGCTCAGTACCAACACCATAATCTACATTCGATCTTGGTTCTTCTAGCCTTACCACAGGCTGAGGTTCACTAGTACTACCATATTCATAACAAGTTTCCCCATGAAGATACCAAACCTTATAACTTTGTGTAAACCTTCTCATATATAAATGAGTACATGCATCCCATTCTTTTATAACCTTATTATTATTGCAGGAAGAGCATGGACATCTTAACTATCGGTATTTTGTTTCGGTTGTTGTTGAACAAGCTTCATTAATTCGCTAATACCTTTCATATATTCCTTTGTAAGCAAATTGGTGTTTGGATCCAAATGTGGTTTATCCATCCACGATCGATGACGATTTCCATAAGACATAATTTTTTTTTTTTGGGAGAGTGAAGAGATAATAAAGAGTAAATGAGAGGAATGTGATGTGGATAAGTTGTATTTATAGACAAAATTTGCTGTCGACATTCTGACGAATTTCTGACCGAATTCCGACAAATATTTTAAAGTTCATCAGATATTCAAACGGTCAAAAATTTCGTCAGAATTTCGTCGGTAATACAAACGGTCAAAATTATTCGTCGGAATTCTGTCGGTATATATTCCGTCGGTGCTTACAATGGTCAAAAATTTTGTCAGAATTTCGTCAAAAATTCCTAACGACATTAAGTTGTGACCTAACGGATATATAATTTCATCGGCTTTCTGTCGGATTTTTGTCGAAAGATCTGGAAACTTTAAAGTCATTGGTATTTCGTCAGAAATTTCCGATGAAATAGCAACAAGACTCAAATTATAATAGTCATCGGTAACCCGTCGAAATCCGGTCAAAAAAACCGACGCAGTTAATTTTTGTCGGAAATTTCTGTGGTTTCTTGTAGTGATATCACAACTCAGAATATTACAATTCACCCCCTCTCAACAAACACAATATCCTCGTTGCGTCCCACGGCAGGTCTCAAGACGCCTTTTGGGTTATAACCAAGATGGTTAACCAGATCTGATACCACTTGTAATGCCATGCCTGCGACTAATGGGCCACCCACACCCGCTCTCTCGGCCCGCGAGATCCATCCCATCCGACAGGATGTGTGTTATTTTTATGAAGACTCAAAATCATTTTTTACTGACCATGCAATCACCACCTGGCATTTCTCTGTGATTTACCCTCACTTATACTGTATCGTGAATCACTTCTTGATAGGTCACTCATTCTTTTACTGCTCCAGCTTAAGCATGTTTAACCCTGAAGTTTTAAACATATATGTGACATAAAAGATAAATCAACTTTGATGACATAGATAACCAAATCAATTTTTGTAAGCATTTCCATATATCACAATTCGGGATGTTACACTATTATTATTGCAACTTAACCAAATTAACCACACTCTTCTTACATGTCCAAAGTAAAATGTTAAATATCTAAAATAACTGGCCCACATGCAATCGTAGTGCTTAACGTGGCTTTGCCCCTATTGGGGACTATAATGAATTAATCAAGAAGACACATAACATTAATACATCTTTGGGAAATGAAAGCTATACGAGTATGTCTTAGTGGAATTCATATCCATAAAAATATTGTTCTCGACAATGAGAGTTAAAAGGATGAAAAGAAGCCCTAGCCGCTCTGAGACGACAATGGCGGTTCTAAGGATTGAAGAAGACAAAGCCCCTGCTTTGGTTTGATTCACTCTTTGGTGATCATACATTTGCACCGATCAGCACGATCATTGTCGGCTGGTTTGTGGAGACGCGCACATATCTCTTTGGTTCAGATATTCAGTTTCGTATCTCTCACGTATCCCTTGGATGCTCTGAATCAACGTCTGTTTTCTAACCGGAGGAGACACGCTTTCTGCTTCAGATTGTGATCTCTCCTCGTGCAAAACAGAGGGATCCTTGTTTCTCTGGTTTTTGTCCGACGAGTCTTTGTTTCGATCGGGTTGATCACTGCTATTTGGTGATCACTGCTACTTGTTTGACGAGCCTCTGCTTCCCTACTGAGTCTCTGCTTGTCTGACGAGTCTCTCCTTGTCCGACGCGTCTCTGGTTCGATCGGGTTGATCACTGCTATTGGTGGTATATTTGATCGGAGCAATTGCTTTTGTGTTCATTACTACATCACTTGTGGTTATTGTGGTGTGTGATTTGTCCTAGCCTTTGCTAAGACTAATCTCCCTAGTAGTGGTAACATGGGATCTAAGTACCGATCCGCTAATCAAAAAGTTCCGACTTTCATTGATTGGTAAAATACTCAATCCAAAAAAACAGACGGTTGAGAAGCTTATTCAAAAAATGCAAGGACAGTGGGGTATGGAAGATAAGATCGTTGCTAATGATCTAGGGAATGGGAAGTTTTTTTTTGAACTTCAGCTCCGAGGAAGACCTAAACTCTGTTCTTCGACAGGGTCCCTTTCACTATAATTTTTGTATGTTCGTGCTGGTGCGTTGGGAGCCAATTGTCCATGATGACTACCCATGGAAAATCCCCTTTTGGGTGCAGGTCACTGGATTTCCACTTCATTTGTGGACTGATCGAAATCTCAGAGATGTCAGAAACAGACTGGGATATGTTGATACTTTAGAATTACCTGAGGGTCGTATGCTCATAGATATCGATTCGAGAAAACCTCTGAAATTTTCAAGGAATGTTCAATCAGCTGAGGGTGAGGACTTCACAATCGAAATAAAGTATGACAAGCTTTTTAAACATTGTGAGCTATGTGGACTACTTTCACATGAGAAGGCCTATTTCCTTCAAGCAATATTCAATCTCGTCTTCAGCCTCCCATGGAACGTGCAGGTGTGTTTTCCCGTATACATAGCCCACCGCTTTCTCCAGCTCCTAGGGCGTATGAGAAACGAACATATCAACATCTACGACAAGATTCTCGCAGAGCTGACTATGATCGTCGTAGGAGAGATCATGGCAGTGGCACATCCAAACATTCTGCAGTAGTGGCTCATCGCAATGGCAATGGGACTAGCACTGGTCATCGGTACACTGGACATTCTGATCGGATTATTAGGCACCACGATGATCGGTATAGGAGTACCCAGCGTGGAGGAGCACGCCATGTCTCAGGTCCTTTTGACCGAAGACGTGAGAAACAATGGCGAGCAAAACCAAATACTATCACTGCTATTGATGGACACCAGGGTTTGGTTACGCCATGTAGTAACAATGGGGATATGGCTCCATATGGCCATGTTTCGAGTTCTGCGACAAAAGTCAGAGGAACCAATGATGGGGATGAACACGGTGTGCCGGGTATTGCACGGGTCAGTGATAGCATGAGGCTCGCGAGTAAAATTGTTACACCAACGGCTGATGCCGCGACCATCCATATGGAGAGCTACGTAACGATGCGTTCAAAGGGATCTGCTAGAGCTTTGACATTCTCACATGAGGATGTCCAGGAGGTAAATGGGGATGGTCAAATGATTGGAGCATTGAATGACATGGAGAGTGTTGAACAACAAGCTGAAGGGATGCTGGAGTTTGAGCCAGAAGAGGATGATTTCAATGATGATGATTTACTAGGTGAGGAGTTAATGGATTCTGAAGGAAAAAGCAAGAAGGAAAAAATTGCCCGTACAGGGAGTAGGAGTTCCAAATCGGGACAGTCTTCAACACGCAGTAGGCGACATGGAGTTCCATCACATGCCCCTTTGGGTATTCAAAACAAGAAATTTGAGTTACTCCGTAGGGGATCTCCTAGGGGATCATAGTCATCTTCACGGAAGGCTCGAGTTTCTAGGAAACATACTCGGCAGGGATCACTGCGTATAAGAGAACCGGCTACAACACATGATGGTTTGATGGGTTCCAAAAACTCATCCCACCCTCATCCATGAGGACAATCAGTTAGAACTGTCGAGGGATTGGAAGCAACCTCACAGTTCGACGCCTTACGGAGATGTGTCAGAAGCATCGCCCAGGACTTGTGTTTCTATCTGAGACGAAGAATATGAGGCTGCTGTTGCAAGACATTCAGGCCGACTTAGGATTTGATCGTTTATTTACCGTTGAGCCACTTGGACTCAGCGGAGGTTTAGCTTTATTTTTATGGATGAATTTCAAGTTAATGTTCTTTTTTCAAATAACAGAATGACTGACATTGAGGCATTCATTGATGGAATAAAAGTCTACATGACATTTGTTTATGGGGATCCTGTAATAGAGAGAAGGGATTTAGTTTGGGAGCGTCTTACACGTTTCTCAACAACAAAAAATGGACCCTGGTTCATGATAGGAGATTTTCACGAAATTACCTGTCATGCAGAGAAAGAAGGAGGCAGACAACGCACTGATAGTTTCTTTCTGCCCTTTAAGCAAATGTTAAGTGATTGTGGTATGCTGAAGTTTCCATTCCCAGAAAACATGCTATCTTGGGCTGGAAATAGAGCAGGCAGGACGACTGTTAGATGTCGCCTTAATAGGGCAGTTGGGAATGAGGATTGGCATGAGAATTTCCCTCATTCCAAAGTGAAGTATATGAGACTCTGGGGATCAGATCATCGTCTGATACTAGCGGATATTCTAAAAAAGAAACCCAAGAGAACAAGAAACTTCAAATTTGATAAGCAATGGTTGGATAACGATGAGCTTAGGAAAATTATACTAGAGGGTTGGAAGTCACCGGACCTCCCACCAGACGCAAGTATAATGGACCATATTGCCAGTTGCCGGCGAGCATTGAGTGTGTGGAAAAAACAGCATAACCTTAACTCAGAGAAAACAGTGGAGGAACTCAAGGAAAAGGTAGATCGGTTATCTTCAAATGATGATGCCACTACTGAGGAGATCGCGGCAGCTATCAAGGAACTATCTGACGCTCTTAAGGCGGAGAAGATGTTATGGAAGCAGAAGTGCAGGGTTTTGTGGTTGAGAGAAGGGGATAGGAATACTAAATTCTTTCACGCTCCAACGAAGCAAAGGAGAGCAAAGAATAGGATTACCCAATTACTGGATGCCGATGAAAATGTTGTGGAGGATGAGGAAGGATTGGTAGCTATTGCTACAAATTATTTTAGACACATCTTCCAATCTTCAAATCCTGAGGACATAGAGGAAGAACTCTCTGAAGTATCTACCACAATTACCTCAATAGATAATGCAACTTTAACAGCCCCGATCACTGAGTGGGAGATTAAAATGGCTCTTTTTGCGATGCATCCAGAGAAAGCTCCAGGACCGGATGGAATGACGGCGCTTTTCTACCAGAAATTCTGGGATATTGTAAATGATGACTTAACTCTTATGGTTAATCAATTCCTTTTTGAGGGAACAGTGCCAGCGGGCCTAAATGACACCAACATATGTCTCATTCCAAAAGTGGAGAAGCCAAATCAGATGAGTCAGTTACGTCCTATTAGCTTATGCAATGTTAGCTACAAGATTATCTCTTAGGTCTTATACCAGAGATTAAAGAAGTTTCTACCAGATAGGATCTCAGAGACCCAGTCAGCCTTTGTTGCTGGGAGACAGATATCAGATAACATTATGATAGCTCAGGAATTGTTCCATGCTCTACGAACAAAACCGAGTGGCCGAAACAAGAGGATGGCTATCAAAACAGATATGAGAAAGGCCTATGATAGAATGGAATGGTCTTTCATTGAGGCCACCATGAGAAAGATGGGCTTTTCTGAAGTTTGGATAACTATGATAATGAGATGTGTAACTTCAATAAAATACAAAGTCCTTATGAATGGACAGCCAAGAGGGAATATTGTCCCGGAGAGAGGTCTACGACAAAGAGATCCTCTGTCCCCTTTCATTTTTATTCTGTGCACAGAAGCGCTCGTTAGCCTTCTAAATCATGCAGAGAACCAAGGAAAGATAACGGGGATGCGCATTACGCGTGCGTGTCCCTCGGTATCTCACCTTCTCTTTGCTGATGATAGTCTATTTTTCTGTATGGCGGAGCCCCGTGAATGTGAAGAAGTAATGAAAGTGGTCAAGATATATAGAAAAGCCTCAGGACAATGCATTAATTTTGATAAGTCTTCTTTACTATTTGGTAAAAGAATCGGACAGGATGTGAGACAAGAGATCAAAGACACACTTGGGATCCAAAATGAAGGAGGAATGGGGTCATATTTGGGTATTCCAGAGGATATCAGTGGGTCCAAATGTAAGCTCTTTGCTTTCCTTAAGGACAAGCTGAGAAATAGAGTGAATGGATGGACTGGGAGGTGGCTTTCTAAAGGCGGGAAATAAGTTATGATAAAATCAATCCTGCTTCCTCTTCCGACGTATGTAATGTCTTGTTTCCTACTCCCATTGGAGATTTGTGAGAATTTAGCTAGTGAGATTGCACAATTCTGGTGGACCTCAAATTCGCCAAAAAGTTCACTGGTCAACATGGGACAAATTATGCTTACCCAGAGAAGAAGGCGAAATTGGGGTTAGGATGATTCATGAGTTTAACTTAGCGCAACTAGCAAAGAAATTATGGAGACTGGTACAAAACCCGGATTCTCTGGTAGCTCGCGTCTTGAGAGGTCGGTATTACAGATTGAGTACACCTTTGCGTCAAATCAGTACTAGCAGTCCCTCATATGTGTGGACAAGCATATCGGCTGGAAGAGAATTGCTACTATTAGGAATTCGACAAAAAATCCACTCGGGATATGAAGTTAAAGCTTGGGAAGATCCTTGGATTCCTACTATACCTGCGAGACCGGTAATCCCCTTGGCACCGGTTATGCACCCGAATATGCGCGTGAGCGATTTGATTAATCAAACAACGAAGACTTGGGATGATAGACGACTTCATGATTATATTGACGCAGATGACATACCACTCATCAAAAGTATGGCTATTAGTTCCACACACCGCCGGGATACGTACTGCTGGAGCTACACGAGGACTGGCCAGTATACAGTTAAATCTGGATACTGGGTAGCACGAAATATCTTGAGGAAGGAAGATGAAACTGAAGTATGTGAGCCCAGTATCACAAAGCTCCAAGCACATGTCTGGAAGGTCAAGGCTCCCAAAAAGATTTGCCATCTTATGTGGCAGGTGATTATAGGACATGTAGCTGTTACAAGCATTTTAAACTACAGACATATGAGATGTGACAACCATTGCCCTCGATGTGGAAAACCCGAGGAAACGATCACACATGCAATATTCGAATGTCCACCTGCTTTACAGGTTTGGGCGCTATCATCTACGCCTACCAATCCAGCTCTGTTTCCAGTTCAAAGCACGTACGCGAATATGGATTATCTTTTCTGGAGGAAGAATGCAATAATGGAACCGGAATTGGACAGGGATCCTTATCCTTGGCTAATATGGTACATTTGGAAGGCTAGGAATGATAAGTTATTCCGAGGCATTGCTAGGGAACCATTGGAAGTGGCGTTTTACGCAGAGAGTGAATGCCAAGCATGGTTTCAAGCAAAGGAGCAGGATATACCGCCCTCCATTGGGGGTGGAATAGATGACGACCGGGCTTTAAGCTTGGGCAACATTTGCATGGTGGATGGATCTTGGACTTCAGCGGACTCCTTCAGTGGATGTGGGTGGATTTTAAAGGATAATTCTGGAGATAGTCAGCTATTGGGGGTGCGTAATTTTGATCGAGTGGAATCGGCGTTGCATTCAGAGTTGTAAGCACTGCGGTGGGCAATGGAGAACATGCTTCAACATTCGCCATGTCAGAGCTTTGGAACTGATTGTAAGGAGATGATCGAAATGCTCAGGAATCCTCATGCATGGCCCAGCTTCTCAATGGAACTGGAAAAATTGACGACACTGAAGATTTGCTTTCCAGACTTCAAGATATCTTATGTTCCTCGACTTCAGAACGGCGTTGCAGATTCTTTACCTAAGAAAGCAAGGTCTTTATATCGTAAGCTTGTGGACGTTGGTTGTTCTATTCCGGTCTTGTTACCCAGACCACCTCATGTCGATTGAGTAATAGATCAGCCGTTTGATGGAAAAAAAAATATTGTTCTCGGATGTAGAGGATCTGAAACCAAACTTGCATATGTGGTTTTCATGTATTATAACTAATGGGATAAAATGGTTATATATATACCAAATTTATACACTTTGGGGTCAGTTTCAGTTCCAATCTTTTAGTTCGGATAAAATGCTTAGGACTGACTTCTACTAATCATATTACCTCTAGAAATTCATAACTATTTTTTTTAATGTACCTCATTAAAAACGTGGAAGGATTTGTAGACGCTGACTAAGCTATTGTTCTTGACAGAAAAGAAGACTACATTAACAAAGATACGTAGTTTAGGTTGGAGAAAACGACAATCAAAGCCCGACGTCTGTGCGAATCTCTTCATCTTCCGCTGGTCTGATATCGTTCTCTAGGCCGAATGTGAAGTATGCTTTTAAGACCCGAATGATAAGAACTGTTATAGTGAGATGCAAAAGGGTCCCAATTCTTGACATCTTATTTGTCTTTTTCAACTTTGGAGGACAAAGAAACATGTTTCCAACAATACTAGAGCACTAACACGAGGATCTTGCTTGTCACGACGTCTGGAAGCTGAACGAATCTTTTTTTGGTAATGTAAGCTCAAGAATTTAGAGCCTGATAGGTTGTTGCAGTGGTGGAGTTTTGGTTGTGTTACATATGGAAAATGATGTATGACACAAGCTTTGGAGAATAAAAAAGAAACGCCAAGATGCGATGAGGTGGATATTTTCATATGCTTGGCTGACGAAATTAGAAGTTTGTGAAACTAAAATATA